TTCAGTCTTTGGTGCACAATAAAAGGACCATTCCAGTTAGCAGGCACTTCAGCTTCTGTGGGGTTTTTTTTGCATGATCAAATTTATATGCACATATTTTTAACAATACAGCATGAGATGAATTTTGGATTTAGGGTGATTAAGAATATTCCTAATTCAACACCCCAAGTGAACTTAGATATTAAAGTGTAGGGAGGTTTACAGGTATGAGATGGTTGTCTTCACAGTCACTTTTTTTCTGCCACTGAATTTCATCTTTCTGCTCCTGACTTCCAGAAAAAACATAAATCAGCAGCAGCATTTAACTTTCCAACATGACTGATGATTTATGTTAGAAAACTTACCTTACACAAAGACATTCTTGTACAAAGTCTTCTCTTTTTTTCACTAAAAAAAGTAGTTTATGTAATTTCTCATAGTCAAACCCAAGTCACTGACCCTTTCTTTACTGTTTTGCTCCCTACATTTACATCCATGACCTGACATGATTTTCACAAGGCTGTAAGTGCAATTAAGGAAGTTCGAAAGATGTTTGTGTCAGCAGCTGTGAAAATACAAAAAGAAAAGCCCACTGAACTGAAAACAATAAATATCTGGTATCAGTTTTCCTACAGAGATGATGTTACAAAGACTCTTCTACAGAAAAATTTTCATCAGGGAATTTCAGGGCAATTTGTAGTGCCCTGTCAGGAGACAAATCCCACGCCAGAGTCAAGATACTGAAATAGCGAGTCTGTCAGGTTCCGTAATTACACAGGGGCTTTTTAACTCTTCAGTCCTGATGGGCTTAGGAAATACAGGCACGATACAACTCCCGTTAAATACTGGAAGGGGAAATGAATAAACTTTAGAAGTTTTAGGTACAAAAAAATGGCAGTTTGTTGTTCTCAAAGTTCATCTTAAAGCTGAAGTGCATCACCTTTTTGCTGATGCACTGAGTAAAAAACTGCAGAGAAATTTTGGAGGATTCACAAGGCTTGATAAATTTGAAAAATCACTTTGAAAATGAAGACTTCTTTCCTTGTTTGACTCCTTTCCTGGTGCAGCTGGACCAAAGCCAACGTCACTACACAATATTCGGCTAAAGCCACTTGGCTACAAAATGGATCTGGCTTTATGTTTAAAGGATATTAATACTTGTTACAGCTTACTAATACTCACTACAACTAATTTTTATCACTGGTTATAATATGCTTATTTTCTCCTTATCACTTTGGCTATAATCATTTGGTTTAATACATAGAGCACACATCTCTATGCTGCCTGTTTAATTATTTTCATTTCTTTTTATGTCACATTTCTCAGAACAATAATTAAGTCAGATCATAAATCCTGTCCTACAGTGACAATAATAAAAACCCCACAGACGGTCATAGTTGCTGTATAATATGGAGCACAGTGATTTACTTTAACTAAACACTTAATTTCTTTCTACTTCGTTTAATTAATTCTGCTTAATTATTTAACCTATTAACCAAAGCTTAATTTAATTGAATCCGAAGCACTTTTACTGTATTTATATTGCTTATTTTTTTGGAATGGGATTAGTGTTTCATTAGCCCTCTTGCTCATTAATTTCAGTGCTGCTGTAGCTCTTTCTTGAAACGTTTGTGTTCTCCAGGGCCGAGTTAATCCATAATTCAGTGGTAGCGGTGAATCGGTGGTGCATTACCCGCTGCGCATGCTCCAAAAGGCGACGCAGGCTTTGCGTGCCGGGGAAGGACCGCGTCGTCGCGCCGTGGTCAGCGTCGGGTAACAGGCACCGCCGCGGCACCGCTTCCTCAGCACCCCAGGGCTTTAAAAGGACACCTCCTTCCATCTGCTTTCTTTTTTTTTTTCCCCAATGCTATCTTCTAAAAATATGTCCCTGCTCTTCTTCCCAAGCTGCAAGGGAGCAGGGTGGGACTGACGTGGCAGCGTCATTCCTGAAGGCTTCCTAAGGCTCTTTTGAAGAGCACCTTGAGAAATCAAAGTCCAAACACTTTCCAGTCACAGTCCACAACGCCACAGTGCAAACCAGCCAAGGTGTTAATATCAAATTCATCAAACTCAAGCCAAAGAGCTGTTGGGAGCAGCTCACCGGTGTGGCCACAGCTGAACTGTCCCTGCCCAGGGAAGTCGTGGGTACCTGCAGTGCCTGCCCTCATCTACCATGGCATGCTCACCTGTAAACCGTTATCTCTCAAAAAAAACCCAACATAATGACAATGGAGATGGTCTAGAAAAGCAAGGATGAGGGACTAGAAATAGCTCTGCTGCCTGTAGACTTAATTTTCATCAAACACACTCATGGCTAGGCAGCTAAGCATCAGCATAAGCAGGCTGTGTCGGTGACAGGGCAGAGCCATGGCACGGCAAAGCCATGCTGGGAGGAGACGGACTCCCTGCACCATCTCTCAGTGTGCCCCACACATGCTGGTAGATGAAGATGTGGATGGTCATGACAGGCTGGTGAGCCCGGCAGCCTCTGAGGGAAAGGACCAGACCTTTCTTAAGAGACCCTTAACTCAAAAATCCATCTACTCACTCTGAAAATCTGAGCCGGGGCAGTTTGCACGAAGGAAATCACAGAAGGGTAAGAGCTGGAAGGGACCCCTGGAGATCATCTAGTCCATCTAGTCCCCAGAGCAAGGTCACCTAGAGCAGGCTGCACAGGACCTCGTCCACATGGGTTTTGAGTACCTCCAGAGATGGAGACTCCACAAGCCCCCTGGGCAACCTGTTCCAGGGCTCTGTCACCCTCAGAGTGAAGAAGTTCTTCCTCATCTTCAGCTGGAACTTCCTATAGAATCATAGAATTATTAAGGTTGGCAAAGACCTCTAAGATCATCATGTCCAACTGCTTCAGTTTGTGCCCGTTGCCCCTTGTCCTGTGGCTGGGCACCACTGAAAAGAGTCTGGCCCCATCCTCCTGACACCCACCCTGCAGATATTTATAAGCATTTCTAAGGTCCCATCTCAGCCTTCTCTTCTTCAGGCTGAACAAGCCCAGCTCCCTCAGCCTCTCCTCGTAGGAGAGATGCTCCAGTCCGCTCACCATCCCTCTAGCCCTCTGCAGGACTCTCTCCAGTAGCTCCTCATCTTTCTTGAATTGGGGAGCCCAGAACTGGACGCAGGACTCCAGATGGGGCCTCACTAGGGCAGAGCAGAGGGGGAGGAGAATCTCCCTCGACCTGCTGGCCACACTCCTCTTATTGCACCCCAGGATACCTGCACAAATGCACCCCAGAAATCTGCACAAAGCCTCCAGAACTGGTTCAGACAACAAATTTTCTCCAGCACTTCAGGGGTTTTAATTCCATCCAGAGATTTTAGTTCCACCTCTGTAGTACAGTGAACTCCATACCCATAACCCACAGCCCAAGACCCGCTCAAAGCCCTCACCAGCGCTACCTGCACCCCAAGCACCCAGAGAAAGCTCAGGAGAAAGCTCAGGAATCAGACCTGCTGCCTTCAGGCTGCGATGTAACGAGCCCCTGCTAAGCACAAAGCTGAATGAGATCACATCTGGTCCAGGGCCAGAAAGTAATGGTGCGGTAATGGTTTTATTGGCTTTTTGAGAAGGAGCTGTTTGATTTCAGAGAGACAGAGAGGCAAGTCAACAGCAACATTCACTCCTGCTAATCTCGTTTCCAGAAGCACGCTGAGCGAGAAGGCGCTTGGGCACAAAGCTCTGCTCGATTGCTCTCTGTTTATCTAGGATTACATTAGGAGCCCAAGACGGCGTCTGAAAACAGCCCACGGCAAGAACCAGGGTTTTGCAAATCGCTTTGTGGGAAGAGATATTCCAGTGTTTCTAGCAAGTTGTTGGCTGGAGGGCAGCCAGTGTGCTCACTACAAGTGCTTCAGAATTAACAGATGTGCAGAAAGGGAAAGATTTAAAGGTGTAGAAGTAGCTCATTTTTTGTAAAAAAAGGAGCTGTATTTAGACGCACAAGTTTTTTAGATGCACAAGTTTTAGACATACAAATTTAAGATGGTCTCCAGGCAAGTACTGCAGCTAACAAGTGTTGATTAGATAATCCAGTTAATTTAAAATAATGTCTTTACCTTAAGCAAAAAGAAATCAAATGCAGAAGGGTGAATTTGGCTGGGGTGAAGGGCCCTCGTAAGGGGGAAACTACGGCAGAAGTGAGTCTGACGATGATCTGCCCCGTTGTCCAGAAAACGGTTACTTTAAGAACCAAAATTACCACCAAATCTGGTATAACAGCTCTTTATTTCAGTGTCCACAACACAAAGAGAGGGCTTGCATTTTGACATCAGAACCATGCAAAGCACCTACACACCGAGAACAAGATACTGAACGAGTGTCTCTCTCCTGCTACATGTGGAAAATTTTGGCAGGAAGACTCAGTTCTCCTGTGCGTTCTGCTCTATCCTTCCACAAATCAACCAGCTGCGAGGCGTGATAATTAACCTTCATTCCAAATGAAATAATTTGCCACTGAACAGTATACCAAGCTGCCCTAGGCTGCTCCAATATGCTTCTGTAAACTTCATCAAGGACCGGGTTCTGCTCTCGGTTTACGAGGACGAAGTCCCAAACATCTCCAGCTACAGGAAGGGGCTTTCATCAGAGGTACTGAATTAACGGAGAGCAGAAGGTGGCTCAAAGGATGAGCTTCTCCTCCATACAGAGGGCCAGAAAAGGCCCTTATTAATGTCCCAGACAGGGGGATGCAGAGACCACCCTAGGCTCAGAGAATTGTCATGTGCACAGAGGACAACTAGACATCCTGAACTATTAAAAAACAGTGGTATAGAAAAATAAAAGGCATAAAATACTGAACCAAAAAGGTTCCAAATAAGGCATCAGCAGGTCCCGACTGGATGCGCTCCCGTTACGTGCATCACCCTCCCAGCCAGGGTGGTTAGGGACGATGCGTTAGGATTGTATTTCTGATCTCAATCATTAAGCGCTACGAGCAACCAGCAGGGTTCAAGTTCCGTTGGAAAAAAGAAAAAAAAAAACCCAAAACATGAAACAAGGAGTATTCTTTTTGGTAAGTATTTCTTAGAAAATAAAATAAAAATGTTAAAGCAATTTGTTTAAATGATTCTTTAAAAAAAGACAACATTCCTGTAAAGTAAAAATATATATATATAGAAATAGAATATATTTTTTTGTTTGTTTTTAAAAAAAGACATTCAGTATCACGTCAGCGGATTCTGATCAACTTCCCCTCTGTCTTCTGCGATAACCGCTGCTCGTTAAGGCAAAACATCAGGTGGGCACCGTTACGACAGCTGAATCAAACTGGCCGAAGGCGAAGCAGAGCAGGCGGCGCGCCGGCCTCAGCGAGGCTGCTTCTCCCGCACGCTGACCGAGCCGTCCTCCATGCCAAAGTACACCACCTCTGCCATGTTGATGAAGAGCCCGGTCTCCACCACACCTGGGGAACAAGAGTTCACGTGCCAGTTAATACCGGAGCCACCCCATGACTTGAATCCTCTGCTCCGAGGTTTTGTTCGCCAAGAGGCACCAATGCCTCCGTCAGAGGTTTGGAGAGAGGTGTCCAGCCTGGGTGGTGTTGCATAGGGAGCCTCCGGGAAGTCTTCTACATGCGGCCACCCCCAGGTGAAGCTCTCTCCACAGTGAGGAACAGCTCCCAAAGCTCCCACTGATGTTCACACCACTCCAGTCACCACTGTTACACTAACACAATCACCAGCGTGGCATTTTCAGCCATCTGAAGACCCACAGGAGCAAGAGGAAGCTACACGCAGCCACAGGCTTACTCACTTTGCCTTAAAATGCATCTAGAAAAATGATCCTGTTCGAGAACACCTGGATAATGCTGTTCAAATGTTAAGACACATCAGATCTGATGCTGCCTCTGCAATTTGTAGCCAGTTTGCAAATGTACTTTTGGTTGCATTTAATTATGGGGTGCTCCAGCTTCCCACAGATCATCACCGAGCCACAGCCAGAGACCAGAAAGGTGTAAAGAAACAGAGAACAAGGGCTACCACAAGCACAAGGTGGCCACAGCCCTGCTATCACCACCATACTCAGGTTTTAACACTTCTGTTCATTCACTTTTGGGAAGTGAAGATGCTCTTCTCCCCTTAGCCAGCTGGCTTCTGAGCAGCAAATGGTGCAGAGGCTATCTCCATACCAACACGATGGAGCAGGTACCACCATTTACACAGAATCACAGAATGTTCGGGGTTGGAAGGGACCCCTGTGGGTCATCTAGTCCAACCCTCCCGCCGAAGCACGGTCACCTACAGCAGGCTGCACAGGACCTTGTCCAGGCGGGTCTTGAGTATCTCGAGAGAAGGAGACCCCCCAGCCTCCCTGGCCAGCCTGGGCCAGGGCTCCATCACCCTCAGAGTGAAAAAGTTCTTCCTGAGAGATGGTCCAGTCCCCCCACCATCCTCGCAGCCCTCCGCTGGACTCTCTCCAGTAGCTCTTCCTCTTTGTTGAACTGGGGAGCCCAGAACTGGACAGAGTACTCCAGATGAGGCCTCACTGGGGCAGCGTAGAGGGGAAGGAGAACCTCCCTTGACCTACTGGCCACACTCTTCTTGATGCACCCCAGGATGCCATTGGACTTCTTGGCAGCCAGGGCACACTGCCGGCTCATGGTCAACCTGTTGTCCACTAGGACACCCAGGTCCCTCTCCGCACAGCTGCTTACCAGCAGGTCCACCCCAAGCCTGTACTGGTACATGAGGTTGTTCCTCCCCAGGTGCAGGACCCTGCATTTGCCTTTGTTGAACCTTATCAGGTTCCTCTCTGCCTAAATTTACCCTTTCATCTCTCAACTGAGGGAGATAAAAGGAAGAAGTCCTTGCAGGGAGGTCGTTTTGTTTGCAAAGAGCGTAACCGGCCACTGCTTCTCTTGCACAGAAACAGCTCTAATGATACAGGCATTTGTAAAGCCATGAGCAGCAACCGCGTTAGGGTAGGGAGTGCTGCAGCAGAATCACAGAATGGTCAGGGTTGGAAGGGACCTCTGTGGGTCATCTAGTCCAACCCCCCTGCCGAAGCAGGGTCACCCAGAGCAGGCTGCACAGGACCTTGTCCAGGCGGGGGTCGGGGTGGGATGGGACGGGATGGGATGGGATCTGCCTTCCCGCTAACAGGCAGGATCTGGCCCTCAGCTGACGACGGAAGCCTTGGCGGATGCTGCGGGGTGGGTGAGGCTGGGGGGGGCAGCAGGGCAGCCCTGGCCTCTCAGGACCACCCTGCACGGAGGGAAGAGGGCTGAAGGTCTGAACCTGCCACCTACTGCTGGCTGCGAGCAAGTGCCAGGTAATCATTCAGATCGCAGAGACACCGGGACAAGCCAAGGCAGAGGCAGCATCCTAGCAGTTCACTTGTAGAGCAGGAAAAACAGAAAATGGGTATACGTTTAGTAAATCAGCTTTATAAGCAGCACTGAGGGAAGCAAAGCCAAACAGAATGAACTAGAAGTTACTGGCGAATCTTCACCCAGCCTATACCCATGGCCTCTGCCTGCTCTGGTGTTTCAGTCGCGGTGCCAGGACAACATGTTGCTGCTTTGTGCGAACATCGAGGATTGTGCAGCAGGATCCCAACCTGCTCCTATGCACTTTGACAACGCGCCAACGGTAGTGAAGGCAGTCCTGTTACGGACTTCAGGGCCAGGCAGGTATCCAGGGTAAACTCGAAGTTCAAAGACACCACACCATGTGTTCAAAGCTGACCAGGTTCAAGAGCAGACTTTGCCAAGATAACCAGACAAGATATCCAGATGCAGCTGAGCCAGTCTATCTGCTGCTTCACCGAGGTTCAGAGAGTGCCACCGCCCCTGGCCAGACCTGGATCATCCAGAAGCAGCTCTGGCCTGGGCAGCAGGTCTCATGCAAGGCAGGAGTCCTTCCAGAGGGGCTGTTCCATTCAGCCACTGCTTCTCTCTTGCACTGCAACAGCTAGGATACGCTGCGCTCTCACAGCAAGGTGAGCCCACAGGACTCCACGATGGTAATGGGATGCAGAGCGGTAACTGGCTTCTGGAAGATACTGCAACCCAGCATGAACCCTCCCCTCCAGAGTGCACCAGTGTTTCCATTAAAAGCCCCTCTCTAAATGGGCACAAGAAGGGTAAGGAAGAGCACAGGTTGGCACACCTAATGGAAAGCACTGTCAGAAGTCACCTGGCATTGGCCCAGGTTTTCAGCACCATATGGGAATGCCACTTGGGTACAGCCGTACTAATTCAGCTGACAGATCTCTGAAGTAGAAACAAATGTAGGGGCCCATAAGAGGGCAGTAAACACACACACTTACACATTTCCTCTCAGCTCCCACGGTCAGGGTTACCCATCACAGACCAAGCCTTAGCCAGCTTTTGCTTTTTTAAAAAAATGACAGACATTACCTGGTATCATTTTTATAGCGGTGTTCACTTCACTCCATTCATGAACCTTGTCGAACTTCCAGTCCAGGATGAAGTTCCCATTGTCCGTCACCACCGGGCCCTGGGAATCACAGACATTTGTCAGCACTGTGAGCTCCTTGTCTACCGAGCACAGCCAGGGACCATCGCAGCCTCTCACTGGGACCAGTCGTCCCCACTGCAAGGGTTTAGAGGGAGTTCTCACTCAAGTAAATCAGGGCAGTCCACAATAAGCCTGCAAGTAAAACCACCGCCCAAGGCAACTGCTCATTCCTCATTCTCCTGCGTACTGATAATCATGCAGAAGCTGGAAACAACAATGCAATTTCATCACTGCAACAGGGGATCCTTTTCACTACAGTAAACCTAGATTAATGTCCTAAAAAGGCTATTACAGGCAACTGAAGCCAAAATAAGACTCCTCTGCCCCAGTGGCAAGAGCAAGCGTGCTGCTGGGTGCTATGGGGAGGTTCTGGAGTTGAAGTAGTGCTGCACTTCAGCATCCCAGACGTGCCCAGAACTCTGCCAAGCCCAAGAAGGAGCAACTGGGTGCTTTCAACAAAGCAGAGACAGCTGGGGCTGCGGACAAGGCGTTCCAGCAGCGCTAAGCAGGGTGTGCAACCACACATGCCAGGAAGGACCAGCATCCTCTGAGGACACAGCTCATGCTGGAGCAGCACTGATGCGCATTTCCTGAGCAAGGCCAGTCTCAGCTTCACAGAGAACGACAGGTTTGCTCTTATCAGGCACCCAAATGCAGTCCCTACAGCCTCTTGGGATTAGACACAATTTCAGTGTTTTTTTTCAGTGGTGCCCAGCGACAGGACAAGGGGCAATGGGCACAAACTGAAGCATGGGAAGTTCCACCTGAACATGAGGAAGAACTTCTTCCCTCTGAGGGTGACGGAGCCCTGGCACAGGTTGCCCAGGGAGGCTGTGGAGTCTCCTTCTCTGGAGATATTCAAGACCCACCTGCAGGCAGTCCTGTGCAGCCTGCTGTAAGTGACCCTGCTTCGGTAGGGGGGTTGGACCAGATGATCCACAGAGGTCCCTTCCAATGCCTACCATTCTGTGACACGTTAAAAACAAGTGTTCAGCCTTTGGGCGTTAACTCCAGCCATTACTGCAGACAGCCGTCCTTTTTCCTTCCCACACAACATGGGCTGGCAAAATCCTGCTGCCCAAGTCAGGACAGGACAGTGGCAGTGGAGACCAAGCAGCTTCAGTTTTAATTTAGTCCTGCTCAGGTTCTGTGTGGTACAGAGGAACCTGGGATGGAGCACCAGCTGCCCACCCAACCTGAGACCTTCTCTGGCAGCACAGTTGCCCTCCAGCCCCAAGACACCCCCACAGTGGATCTGACATCCCTCCTCTCCCCGCTCAGGGATGCTTGCTTTAGGAGACATAAGCCAGAGAGGCTTTCCGCGAGCAGCACTGACCCCTAAACACATAGTTCATTAACCAAAGTATAATTAAGGGGAATTACACAAGAAGCCACTCGCAGGAGTGAAAGCCCAGATTTGATGAGATGAAAAGCCAGACCTCAGGTCCGCTTTGCCCACACTCGAGTGGGTCCTCTGGGGGGATGCGGGGCCGATCAGGGACACGTACCGCTTTGCTAACAGCCATCCGCAGCTCTGCCGCGCCTCCGAAGTTTTTGGTCAGGGCTCTGGTGACGGGGACGTAAGCCATGGGGATGACTTCGATAGGAATTCCCTTCTTCCACTGCTCCCCGAGGCGCTCTGATTTTTTCCTGGGGACAGGGTTTGAGGTGGGATTAGCGTCAGATGTTGCATTGTTAACACCATTAACACAAAGCACCTGTGTTACCTCTTGCAAACCCCTCAGGCGCAAGGCCCTGGAGGGCACAGCGATCAGTTCACATGTGCACACATGTGGGAAGAACCAGTTTAATGCACGATGCTCTACTCACTCATAAGCCCCACTCTGACCCCTTTCAGACAAGCACGATGCGAGTTGTTTTTTGACATAGCCCTACAGCTGTATGTACAGAAGGGGGGAATTTATTCCGTGCTGACAATCACCGAGCTCAAAGAACAGAGCAGCCTTTTCCCCAAAAGCTCTGCTGACTCTTAAGCAGGCCTGCTCAGATGAAAATTAAGGAAAAAAAGCTAAACTGCATCGCTGAAGCACTGGGAGTCAGGCTCATTTCCACCTATTGCTGCTCCCCTGACCCACTGGAAGGGCAATAACGGCCTAACACAGGACCATCCGAGTCCTCCCACAAGACAGAGGTATAATGAAGAGTAATATTTTTACCTGTAATCAGCAATAACAATGAAGCATTTTGCATATCCTGCAACTATCTTCTCCTGCGTCAAGCAACCACTGCAAGGGGGGAGAAAAAAAATTACATAAAAATCAGAAAACAGGCTGCTCCTCATTGTGCCTGATGGTCCTAAAGTCCAGTCCCCTCCACCATGTTCTTGCTGGTTTTGGTGCTGCCGTTGTCCCACACCAGGGCTCTTTCCCCCGCCCCATCAGTTTATCCTCCTTGTGCCTCGCACACACCCTCGGTCAGGAGCCGTCTCCCACTGCAGGCGCACGCCCGGCCCTGCGCAGGATCCCGTCAGCCTCTCCCTCCCAGCCCCGGAGACATCCACAGGCAGAAAAGGATGCTCAGAGGCCACAGCCTCCAGCGCCGCGCACAGATGGACTGCAAGGCTCACCCGCCACCTTTGATAAGGTTGAGGTCAGAGTCCACTTCATCCGCTCCATCGATCGCAACGTCGAGCTGCAGGAAGAGGAGAAACTTGGTGTGGAAACTTCTCCCAGGCAACATCCAGGCGCTGCTCTCGGCGCAGCTCGGGAGGGTGTCAGGCCCCAAGCAACACCCAGAAATGTTGTTAGAGCTGAGACCACCGTGATGCCAGCCTGACCAGAGTCGAGCACCCCATCAGCCACCCAAGGGTACCAGCCCCTGCTAAACCACAGGCATGTGAGAAAACCACCAAAACCAACCGCTGCCCTCCACGGCACATCACTTCAGCCTCTGGTGTTGTCAGCTAAGGGGCGGGGAGCTCCTCGGAAAAATCTTTGTCACAACACTTCAGCAACGCCATATCCCCGTCTCAGGCCGGCCAGCCTCAACCTGGAAGAGGTGCCAGACACCTTGAGGAAACACAACTTGGCAGCCCACCTGCCACCTAAAGGGACAAGCACTAAGACAAGACAGAGGCTTGCAGAAAAAAATAAACTCAGCTAGCTGTGGCTCACGTTCAACATCGTGGCTGCCTAAACTCTCATCCTCAGGGGAGGGCAAGGGAGCCTGATACTTTATGAAAGACCAGGTTAGAGGGAGGTCAGGCGAGGTCTCACCTCCGCGGTCCCACTTACCTCTGGATGTCGGTCCAAGTCACTTAACGTTAAGCCGTTTTGCAGGATCAGCTGACGGGCCTGTGCATCAAGAAGACAGCAAACATCATTTACCGGCAGCAGGAAAGGAAAACAGGCTCCTGGTGTCATCCCCCCGGCTGCAGCAAGGATGGAGTGTCTCCGGGAGAGCTCCACCGCTTCACCCCACGCTGGCGGGGAGGCTGCAGCCCGCAGCGGGAACACGCGGCAAGGAGAAAATGATGCTTCCAGGCTAGCTAGATTATTTTAATCAAAAGAAAACCCCGCTGCTTTGAACTAAAAATGCTCAGATGGTGCATTAGGACTTCTGGCCAGCAGGTCGAGGCCTTCCCCTCTACACTGCCCTAGTGAGGCCCCATCTGGAGTACTCTGTCCAGTTCAAGAAAGGTGAGGAGCTACTGGAGAGAGTCCAGCAGAGGGCTACAAGGATGATGAGGGGACTGGAACATCTCCCCTATGAGGAGAGGCTGAGGGAGCTGGGCTTGTTCAGCCTGAAGAAGAGAAGGCTGAGAGGGGACCTTAGAAATGCCTCTAAATATCTGAAGGGTGGGTGTCAAAGAGGATGGGGCCAGACTCTTTTCAGTGGTGCCCAGCGACAGGACAAGGGGCAACGGGCACAAACTGAAGCACAGAAGTTCTGTCTGAACATGAAGAACTTCTTCACTCTGAGGGTGACAGAGCACTGGAATAGTCAGGGTGCCCTTCTTGGGAGATCTTCAAGCCCTGCCTGGACAAGGTCCTGTTCAGCCTGCTCTAGGTGACCCTGCTTCGGCAGGAGGGTTGGACTGGGTGACCCACAGAGGTCCCTTCCAACCCCGAACATTCTGTGTTTCTGTGTGATTCTGTGATTCCTGGGTTCAAGTATCTGAATTAAAAGGTGGAAGGCCCCATCAGCTTGGCAGGAATCACCTCTATCTAAGCATTAGAGCAGTTACGGGATTTTTGAGCCCTGTGCTGTTTCAGTTTGGACACCATTCTCCCTCATACCCATCCAGCCTCTCAGATTTCCTTCAGCTGAAAAATGGGAGCAAGAAAATGAAATATTCACACAATAGCAATACTGGACTAACAATGAAAACATTTTTCACATTGGAAAGAAACAAAACAAACAGAAAAAAACCAGCAAAAAATAAAAGCACAACTCATGGAAAAGGTGTGGGAAGCCTCCCGAAACAGCTGCTTGGTGGCTCTGATCTACTTTCACTGAGGTGGCTGTGTATTTCCCTCTAGTGTCAACACAACACAGAGCACCTGGAGTTACCCTCCACTTGGTCCCAGTTTAAACAGGAGTTCAAGCTTACAAAACCTTGAATTGGGGGAATTTTCAGTGCTACAAACCATCACCTGAGTGAGACTCCTTCCTTGCATGGACACTGCTGGAGTCTGAAGTTCCTATCACGCTGTAACCAGCCCAAGAAACCCCGGTGTGATAGCCAGGATCAACTTATTCCCCTGAATTTTAGCCACTAACACTAACACAGCACATCAGTCGCGTGTATTGGCATCCCAGAAACATTAAGAAGAGTTAGCAGGCAGTACTCCTGGCAGGGAGATATGATTTGAGTCTTTTGTCGCGGCATTCCATACATAGCATGCAGTTTTAACACCCATGGGCTGTGGGCTCTTGATCTGTGCGCTAGGATTGCCCTAAGGACTCACAAAATAAAAAGAATAAAAATCAGTGGGTTTACGTTCATTACATGGCGCCCATGTTAAGATGTATCGGGGATTTGAGATTTTAAAGCGTTGAAAAACACTGTGCTGCACATGCAGGCCAGATCCCGAACAGCAGCGTGGAAACACGGTGGCTCTCCTCAGGCTCTCTGCATGCAAGGCGATGGGAGCAGACAAGCAGGAATCAAAAGCAGAGCTCCCACAACTGGGGGAAAAGCGTTGGTAACTGCGCAGCACTTGCCAAGAACGGCCTCACTCTGTGCTCTCGGCACACATCCCAGTGAGAAGAAGAAACCACACAAAAGCCAAGGGACAGATACTTACCCCGGCTCTAGCTTTACTGATGGTGATGGAATAACCCAACCTGACAACAGGGAAGGGAGGAGCCTAAAAGCCCACTGAAACCAATTCTTCCTTGCCAGTGACCTCAGGCAGCCATTTACACCTGTACGTAGCGAAAATAAAATGCTGTTTCGCTGACCTGGGAATGCTTCACTCGGAATCGGTTGAGGTCTAAGAGACCACGAAAGATATGAAGCAGCCCCGTGTCTGGGGGGTTTTGGCTCGTGCAAGCACACAATCTAGCTCTTCCCTTTAACAGCAACTTTTTTGTTTTGCTGGTAACAACGTCTGTAGTGTTACAGGAACTATCTCAACATGTGAAGGCAGGGCAGGCTCCAGCCCACGTTCACCACGAGAGCTCTACCCCTGTTTTCTGTAAGGTCTAACGACTGAACTCCGAGGAGTTTTCCCAGGTTCAGATGGGACATGGTATCTCAGGATGGGGATCATTTTAGACAGATCACAGACAGACTCTCGCTACAGTGTATATCTACAACAGAAGTACTGATATACACTAAAAAAGACAAAATCCTAGTTTTCACGTTTGGCGCTTTGCAGCACTTTGCATTATATCCCAGTTAGCCACTGGTTGCTTGCAACAGCTGGGAAAAGAGAGAGTCCCATTACCCCACACTTAAGCAGGGTAAGAGGATGCCAAGCTTTCATCAGGTTTTAGGATAATTCGGGTTGGTCTCTATCCAACCTCCAGCTCAAAGCAGAGTCAGCTACCAGGTTGCTGAGGGCTTTATCCACTCAGGTCTCGAAAACCTCGAAGGACAGACTCTGCACAGCCTGCCTCACTGCTTGATTGTCCTCATGGTGAAAAAGTTGTGACAAAAGTATGACCCTGAGGTCCACACCAGGAGCGTGAGAAGGACACGCGCCCAACTCCCAGACCGCGGCATTGCCACCCAGCCTTGAAAACCCCGCGGGTGGTCCCCATCCCCACAGACCGACAATGTCACCTCTCCCTGCCCAAAGGGGACAAGGTGACAGCTGCCCCTCTGCTGCGCGCTCCCACCTCGGGGAACAGAGGCAGAGAGACCAACGCCAGTTGCCTGAAGGCATGGAAGCAGCTCAGAAGCTTCCCCAGCAGCTCTGCCTTCCATCACCAAGCCACATTCCCCCCCTCCCTGCAAGCCTTTTAACAGCCAGCTCAGTATGAACCAATCCCTGCAAAGGCTGCGCAGAAAAGGAAAGATTAAGCTGATTTCTCTTCTGCAATTTCTTATAAAAGCCAGTTAATGCACTTCAAGTTCCTCCTGAAAACACATGAGCTTGCTATTATCGCTTGCAGTGTGACTTTTACAGCTTTCAGGGCTTGACACAGAATCAAAGCAGACTAAGTGTCTCCAATGAGTTTTGTGTTATGAGCCTGGTTCACTACTAAACAGTATTTTCCTGTAAGCAGGATCCAGACCAAGTCACGCACCAACACCGACACAACCCCCATCACCACACTGAGTGAAAATTCGCCTCCTAGCCCTACGGCATCCCTGCAGCTCGGGTCAGGGTAACAGCACCGTCACCCACTCCTTTCACCAGCGGTTTCAGTTAACTCACACCACCGTGAGCCAGCCCAGAGAGCGGCGTGGCTGCCTCCCACAGCCAAAGGGGAGATCCCCTGCGTGAGTGTTTGGACTAGCAGAAAGCAAAGGAAGAAAGCCTTTACCTGAAAAGACGTAGGGATGCAGACAATCGTCAGGTTCTCCTGTTTAACCCGCTCAGCTGTAGGGGGAAAAAAGCAGAAACCTCGGTTTGTTCATTGCAGAAGGAAAAAAAAAAAACAACACACCAACTTTCCCTTTAAGAAATCTCGGTTCAGAAGAGCCCCTCTGAATCACTGCAATTACTTGCTTGGCTTGCAAATAACTCAGTCACGCTCGAAATGCAAACAGGTGCCACCCCGCACAGGCTAAGGCTCAGTTTCTACAGTAAGAAATGTTTGAACCCCCACTCTGTCCCAGCCCAAGACACCATGAGCCATTAACCTTTGCGTCTCCAGCAGCAGAGGTGCCTTGTCAGCAAATCGTCACCTGGGAAATGAGCCCCGCTCCCCTCTCTCACTCCATTAGACAGGTTTTTGCTGCGCTCCTTGTAAACAGAGAGCTCCAGCAGCTGTCTGAAAGGTTTTCTGGCTTCTTGCCTTGAGGACATCACATTAATTTATTATAGAACATTTAAATATATGGCAGGGAAAGGACTAATAAAATACAGTATTCCATTAAATGGAAGGAAATGTTTCCTCCCCCAGGTTAACCTCAAATGACTGAAATCTATTACTAAGATATCATTATGGACAAAATGTTATTTTAGTAATTACAACACTCAGGCATGAGCCAACAGCCCGAGATTCAGTAAGCGCTCTCGCACCAGAGCAAGCACGCGGGCTGCAAGGTAACGCTGCCACTGGGAGGGCTGCAGATGCAACACCTGAGGCTGTGTGTTGTCACAACCCCCATCCCAGTGCTAACGCATCCAGGAGACACGCAAAGTCAGACTTTGCAGCCTGGAATGGGCAATGCACTCTAAATACTACACCCATTTATTTAGAGACTGATGCTGTGTTCAGAGCCGAGAGTGGCTGGGAGAC